ACACACCCACACACCCACCCCCACGCACACGCACACGCACACGCACACGCACACGCACACGCACGCACACACGCACACGCAAACACACGCAAACACACACACACGCAAACACCCACACACGCAAACACACACACACACACAGACAGAGACACACACGCACACACACACAAACATACACACACACACACACACACGCAAACACGCAAACACGTGCATGCTACGCAATGTTATGCATGCACAGACACCCGCCCGCCCAACCACCCACTCGTGCACGCACGCGCGCACGCATGCAGCATGCACTCACCCCACACACACACACACACACACACGATCTCTGAGGCTCACTCACGCTCATACACAACAGACATGCAGACACACATATACCTATGCGATGCAAGGAAGTTGACCGGGTACCTCGCCGGTCAGGCTGGCGAGGATACATGTCGGTCTGTGCCAATCCCAGTCTTAGTTGCAGTTGTTACACTGTTGTTACCAGCGGCCGCAGGCCAGCAATCAAGAGGCGACCTTCTGTGCTCTCGCTACTGGGTTGAGATGGAGATCTTATGTCAAGTTTTGTTTGTGCTTCCCTCCCGGCAGTATCATCCAAAGGCCAGCTCCCGGGCCAGCATGAGGAAGGGGCTGGACCAAGCGCTGCGTGGCATGGCATGCAGTACGCAGTTTTGGAACGATTTGACGAACAATTCCTACTCGATTCGAAACTCCACCGTTTTATTTTATTTCGTGAAACTTCTGCACAGGTGGGCTGGACATTCCTCGCTACAACGTCAGCATAGAGCACAGCAGTGCTTCCCCAAGCCGAACCCGACAAGTCTGTCAGAGAGTATGCACGGAATCTTTTTGGTTTGTGCTTTCGACTGCCTCAGGTGGCCGGACGAAGGAAGCTTGAGCTGTTTATGTATGCAAGAAGCGTTGGCTTTCATAGGGTTTTGAGACATTGCCGAGTCGAAGGGTCCGTCACTGCTCAGGATGCTTGGTTAAGTGTGGTCCCATGGCGGTCAGCCACCGGCAGCATCGTGGGGGCAGTTGCAAGCTTCCAAGATGCGGAGGAGGTGGACCGGAGACTGGGTGAGGCGAGAAGGTTTTGTGCAGAGCGAAGTATGCGTGCTGCACTCGGAAACAAATTGGGGTCAGGCAGACTGGATTCGAGTGGCTTGGCTTCGATGATTTTTATGGCAGGAAGAAGCTCACAGCATGGCATTTTGAGTGCGATTTGCCATCAGACTGCCGTGGCGGAGCAACTGGACCGAGCCAATGCGGCGATTTTCTCCATCGACTCCAATCTGCTGCTTGTCTTCAATGTAGCTATTAGTGCCAAGTGGTCTTCAACAGAACCAACTGCTACGCAATTCATGCTTTTTGCAAGACGACGTGCGGCGCTTGTGCTTCGGGATACTTTGGGTTCGTGACAGGGCACCTCGACCTGGCCAGACTCTCCTGGGGCTCCAAGATTGTACTGATTAGATTCAAGCCTGTCTGAGTTTGTTCTATTCTTTCGGTGGAATCGTCTCTGGAAGCCGGATCGGTAGATTGGTTGTTGGTGCTTCTCAGGGTCTTTTAGAAATGCGGCCGAGGTGCATCACCGAATGGAATCACATTTTGGAAGACCGGAGCGGCAAAGAGAAAGAGAAGGTTGCTGGGCCACTTGATCTCAATTGGCAAGAATCAATGAATCGTAATGGCTTGCAGTGGGCGATTCACGCTCGGACGGATGGGCCGAGGGCAAAGTTACTGGATCTGCTTGAGACGGAGTCGCGAAGCGGAGCGGAAGCAGCTGCCAAGACAGCTCTCGCCGGCGAGTTGGGCTCAACTGTACAGAGCCTCGCCTCTTACAGCCTGGTGCAGCTGTTGCTATCATGTCCTTGATCGCTTGATGCACAGATGAGGATATCTTTGATGCCTGGGATGGACATGGTGCTGGGATTTTCCCCACAATTCAGCTTCACTGGCAAGGCCTGCTTAAACGGCGTAACTATCCTCGCACAAGATTAGATGGGAATGACTGCGCTGGTCCAGACTGCGGTTCAAGGGCCCAAATTCTACCTCCCGTTCGGGAGGAAGCAACGCACGCATCGATCCCGTTTGGAGAGTTGTGTGGTTTGGATCCTCTAGCTGCAACCATTATGGGTTCGCCGGGCACTTTCACAGTTCCGGCTCGCACTGGCGGTCCAATGGGAGTCTACTCCTTCGGATTCGACTCGAATCTGTTCATGAAGTTGTCCTTGCACCAAATTGGTGGTTGTATGGCCTGTCTGACACAGTCTCGAGCCGACACATGTTGAACCGTTGCAGTAAGTGGAAACCGAAAGGACTGGCGAACTCAATTGCAGCATGACCGGTCTGTTTGGAGATGCATCTTTTGGGCCGAACAAAGAAGCCCGTATGACCGTTTCTGAGGGGCTTGCCGAGAGACTGAGCCGACGTCATCGCTGTTGGCCTTCATGCCACTAAGCCCACCCATTGTCTCTTAGAAATGCCCTTTCCTGGCAGCAGCAGCAGCAGCAGCAGCACCAGCAGCAGCAGCACCACCACCACCACGACCACGACCACGACCGCGCCTGTTGCACGGCGGTCTTTCTCGCTCCCCTGGAAGACTTGACCAACAGTGTCACAGTGCTGCTGAGTTGTAACTTTGGTTGATCACGCAAACGAACTGTCTTCCTAATCCACGAACTGGAGATCGTTGAAGTCCTGCCCGACAAATACTGAAGTCGTGCTTCGTCATCGGGGCGTTTGCCAGGTCATTGGTGCGCTGGCAGTTGGTCAGCTGCTGCCATCTCGTGCGTCGCCACAGGAAGCCGGGACGTCCCACGCCATGAAGGCCTTGGCCTTGACTAGGGATCGCAGCTGCAGCCCTTTCCAAGCAGCGAGGAATTTAGCGAGGTTATCTAGTTGTTCCGGGCTGTTTCCTCCCATGACTTTATCATGTGATCTTAGTCACTAGTCAAGGACGCTTGACGAGCATGTTGCCTTCAATGAGCTTCCTTGACTATCTTACGTTCAAAATTCGAGTTGTCTTAAGCTGCAAGGCCATGATTCTTCACGAGCTTCGCTCTCCTTTGCATGGCATCCTGGGTCTGGCAACCACGCTGTCGCAGGACATCGCGCAGCATGCGGGCTTGTGACTTCTCCAGATTATATGTGTGCTTTCTGTGTTCATTCAGTGTTTCTGCCACTCTCTCCCCATTTTTCCACGTCGATGTTTCTGTCCTGCAAGTTGCTTTTCATTTATTGTTGGTCGCCTGGCTAGTTCGTCCTTTTTTTGCTGGCTGCGGTTCTTTTCTTCTTGCGTTACCCTTTCACGGCAACTGCGGTAGATGCTTCAGCTGCTGCTGCTGCTGCTGCTGCTGCTGCTGCTGCTGCTGCTGCTGCTGCGCGGAGGAGAGGTGGGTGGTGTTGGTGGCGGTTCTGCTCCCTGCTGTGTTGTTGCTTCATGTTGCTTCGATTCGCGTTGGATCGATTCCTTTTGGCCGGGCCCAGAAAATATCAAAGCTGCTGAACTCCCCGTCTAGATGGCTGTAACTGCTTCGTTTGGATCGTTGGCTTCACTCCTGTGCAGATCGTCGAGGCCTCGTTCTGACCCCCATGCTGGTACAGACGCCTGCACTTTTAGGCGTGGGCATGGAGGTGAACTTTGGGCTTCAAACACTCCGTAAGCCTGTGCTGAAGCTTCTTTCGCTGCGACCTCGTGACACTGTGCGGACCTTCTTGGGGCGCAGTTTGCCAAAGTCCATCAAAGCTGCTGAAACGGGGTTTATCAACCATGCTCCTTCATGACGTGATTTGTACTCTGCAGGACGCTGGTCCTTTGCAGAAACCGCGGCGCAACTGAAGCAGACGTTCAAACAAGCGCAAGGCACCAGATGGATTCGCGCTTTGTGCTGCTAAGGCTTGGCATGATTGGTTTGAGCGTGCCGCGGCTGACTTCGAGCAGTGTTTGAGCGTGTCATTGTCAAGGCAAACGATGGGGGTTTCCAGCTCGGAATCCCTGTTTTGCGGGTGTGGGTTGTCTATTGCTCTTTCAGGCAGCCGGTTTATTTTTTCTGTCGTCAAGGCGAACCCAAGCAATTAAGCTTTTATAGGAGGTTCATAGCATCACTATGCTTCCGAAGAGCCTTTGTGAAGGTCAGAGTAGGGCCTTGCCACGACAGGGTTTAGGTGCACACTGACAAGCTTTCCAACCACAACGACAAGATTTTGTTTTACTGACAAGGGTTTAGGTTCAACCCTAGCAGTGCGCGGGGGAATGGGGCAACGCACGGGAATCACAGTTTTTGCATATTTTAATGCTCGAATCAACCAAAATGGTGATTTCCCCACGCGTTTGGGGAGGGAATGTTCGAAACAAGGTCTCCCCTCTCGTAAGCGGGGGCGACGTGAGGGAATCACCATTTTGCCGCTTGCCTCCAACATAGTGATTCCCCTGCGTGTGCGGGGACGGAGCAACGTGCGGGAATCACCGTTTTGGCAAATTGTAACGCTCAAATCATCCAAAATGGTGATTGTTTCGGGAGGGCGTGCGGGAATGATCGAAACAAGGTCTCTTCTCCAGTAAGCGGGCGACGCGCCGGAATCACCATTTTACCGCTCTCACAGCCCAGTCCCTCCAAAATGTTGATTCGCCGGGAACGGGGCAACGCGCGGGAATCACTATTTTGGCAAATTCTAACAGTCAAATCAACCAAACTGGTGATTCCCCCGCGTGTTTGGGGAGGGCGTGCGGGAATGTTCGAAGCAAGGTCTCCTCTGCGGAATCACCATTTTGGCACCTGCAGAGCTCAAACCTTCCAAAATGGTGATTTTCCCCGTTCGTTCACGAAAGAATCTGAGCCTGTCTTCACTGGGTTCAAAAGTCTCTTCGTCCGGCTGCGTAGAATAACCTGCACGATTTTTGAATGGAGTTCACTGACACTGATGCTGATATGTGCTGCTGATGCTGATGTGTGCCGCTGCTGCCGCTGCCGCTGCCGCTGCCGCTGCCGCTGCCGCTGCCGCTGCCGCTGCTGCTGCTGCTGCTGCTGCTGATGCTGATGCTGATGCTGATGCTGATGCTGATGCCTTGTCGTGGTGAGGTTTTCATGCCTTGTCGTGGTAACGTGTTTATGCCTTGTCGTGGTGAGGTTTTCATGTGCTGTCGTGGTAAACTTGTTTTCTGAATGCGCTCTCGAGATCAGAGTAGGCTGGAAATTCCAAGGAAATGTGTCTTCAGATAGCTATGACAAGTTCTCAAGACTTTGAATCCATGGGCCAGGCAAGCTTCGATCAATCTCGGGGACTTTCCATGATGTTCGTCTGCACTAACAGATTCACGGCATTTACACTTACTGCATCTTCCTGCTCTGCTGCGTGTTCGTGACACCATTCTGGCCGTGGCAAACTGGCAAGCCCTCATGGTTGTTCTTCTTGGCAGGTGCTTGTGACATGATGATGAGGGCGGTTAAGCTCGGTCTTTCAACAACGTGCACGCCCTTGGAGCGCTCACAAGGTTGCGCAAGTCCGAGTGTAAACTTTGCTCACGCTTGCTTTTCGAAATTAAGTGAGCACGCCCCGATGTTCAGAAGGCCTCGCGCGCGTAAAGGGACGCTAAAGGGCGACGTGCAAGGGTACCTAAGCTCCTAAATGGCTTGCATGGAACCGGCATATAGAGCAACCCTCAAGTGTCAACTCAGGCAGAGCGAGTCCTGAACTTGATTACCAACATTATTGACTATTGGAGCCTTTGTTGCAATGAGAGCTGACAGGGGAAGGGAGGCAACTGTCCTGCAGCAAGGAACTTCTGCGACGAAGACAAAAGAACTTCCACGAGCAAGGATGAGGTTGTGGATTTGCTTGTGCTGCAGCCCGCATTTAAGTGTGTGGTTCGACTTGGCCATACTGGGCCGGAAGGCTTACTTGCTGCTGTTGACATGAGTAGCAATAGCACATATATAATCAACGACATCGAACAAAGTTACCAAAATCCACGAACATAATACCTAATTCATGATACTTTTGTTCAGGGCGCAGTTACAGAAACCATGACAAGGTCCTTAGTGCCACCAGCAACTCTGGTATGTGTGAATACGCAACTAGTCGAACTTGAATAGCCAAGGCCTGGAAGAATTCTCCATTGGTTGCTGGCAAGTAAGGTTTCAACTGATTTCGTATATTCAGTTCAGTTTACCTTATCAAGTCCTATTCCCCTGAAATGGACGCTTTGCTGCAAATTTAAAAACGAGACGTGCTCTTTCTGTCCTCACTGCGAGGTGCTTGCAAAAGAGTGCATCTCCAAGTGTGAATCTTTCAAGGACAAGAAGGGCAAGCCCCTCAAGAAGGACCAGGCACTTTCGCTACAAGCCATCGATGAGCTCGGGTTCGGGGCGCGCAAGAAGAACTTATTGTGATAACACCAGAATCCGAAACTGTAAACACGAGCGGCGCGCAGAACTGACGGGGACTCTACCGCAGCGTCTTTACTGCAGACATCTGCAGACTGAAGCGGTGCCAGATGCTTTAATGCTCTCATCATAACTGGGTGATGGCATTGGCGCGCCGGGAACTCTTGCATGACAATCCGCCTCTGGCCCAATCTATTGATCATCCAGGCACAGAGCCATCCACGGCAAGCTGTTGATGTTGGCATGGCCTGCGTTCGGCTTGTCGCACTGTAGCAAGCAGAGAGCCAAGTACAGTTTGACGAGAGCGAGCATTGTGTCTCACTACTAGGGTTCTTTTGCTTGGACACAGGGGTCCGAACAGCCCATTGTGTCCCCAAAACAAACCATCGTCATTGACTTGGTGAACCTCAGCACGCGCAGACTTAAGTCGCCGTGTTTCAGTATGTAATGTTTCTCGTCCGCATCACTACCATTTCGACCGCAAATTGGCTTCAATCTTTGCCTCTGCCCTGCGGCTTTCGTGGCCCTGTTCTCAATCGGGCATTTGGGAACTTCCGAGCCCAGAGTCTTCGCATCCAAGACAACAGAAGGAATGCTGAGCGAGCACGAGAGACTAGGCAAACTTGCGATGACAGTTCAGAAGTGTGGTCCGGTGGCCCCTGCATACTGCAACTCAGGCTAAAACCGATGCAGGTTGGCCCAAACCTGTTCCCGAGCCTCTGATGCTCTTGTACACTGAGTGGCAGCCTGTAGCCAGACATCCTCGCGAAGCCTCCAGTGCCAAATCGGAGGTTCAATTCACGAAGAACTTGCAAAGTGTGACCATCTCCGGCGATGCATACCAGCTGATGCAGATGATGATCCACATCCTCATGAATGCCACGTGGATGCAAGCACACAAGTTGTAATAAGCAAGCGAATGTGTGAACCTGCCGGAGCCGTGCTGGCGATGCAGCCTGAGGCTTTCAAGTTCTCCTCAGAGGGAGAGGTACTTCCGGGACAACTGCCTTCTCGGTCCGTTCACGAACCTACCCGTGGCAGATTGAAGGTGACTTTCACCATTGAGAAAAACGCGGAGACCAATTCTGCTGTGATCACGGTTACAGACACAGGCTTGGTTTTCCTGCACTCTGCGTTGCTTCGTGTGCCTACCTCTTGCACCGCCCCAGTAATATCACCTGGCCTGTGCGACGCACTCAATCTTATGCCAGGTCCTGGCATAAAACCTGAGACAAGGGACAGTGCCTCCACAGTCTTGGCGCAGTCTTGCGGCTTTGACCGCCGTGCAGACAAGTCTCCATAAGCAGATGCGTTGCTTGGGTTGCCAGGTATGTTTCGTGCTTTTGCACAAGAAGACTCAACCGAGAGCCGCTACTCGGCCACAAGAGCTGCATCCCGTAGCTGCTGTAGCCTGTCGCTGGGAGGGCCGTGTTCAGTCAGCGCGGAAGTTCAGGAAAACACGACGGTATTGGCGTTGGGCTGGCCTTGGTGCGTGAAGTAGTGCGGATACACCACGGGAGTCGTGTCCTCGTTTGCAGCACAGTGATGCCTTGTGACTGTGAGTCGAATCGATGCCCATCGATGCCATAGATGCTGAGGATGCACCCTTGAGCCAATGCCGGGCAAGGGCACGTCGGTGCAGGCACTTCTCCAAGTGCCTCGCACATGCAGTGGCTTTTGCCGTCAAAGCACAAGTAGCCAAGGTGTTTCTTCCTTGCAGTCCACCGCCCGACCACGCGCCTGCTGACAGTACCCAGGTCTTTGGGGTGCCATGCAGTCTTCACAGGTTACACAGCTATGCACGGCGGGGGTGCTTGAATTGTGAGGCTATGCTGGAACCCGTGAAGGTGCTGTGCTGCTATGCCAAGCCTTCATTTTGTGGCCTTCGGATGCCCTCGGTTGCGCCAGGTGCCACTGCCCGGCACAAAGCCTCGTGGACCTCCTTCATCCTGGCTTGGCCCAAGCACGCAGATTGGCACCTGGGTTCCCAAATTCTGAAAATAAAGGCTGCGCTAATCTTGTGCAGTGCTTGAAGGGCAGCTTCGTGCTTTGGCAATGAGCTTTGGCAATGAGCGAGGCATGCAAATCAATGCAAGGCCGTCACCACCGATGGAGGGAGGTGGCATTAGACCGACTCCTGCGTTTGGTTGTTTCCTTTTTGGGCTCGTGTGACCTGTTCGCATCCTTGAATTGCATTGCACAGTGCATTGAAACGCGATTTGTGAGCATTTCAATCGCCCTCATGTCTGGAAGATGCCCGTTTTCCCCACTGGGCTTGCGTGAGGCTAGAAAGGTATCATTGCCTGGAATGTCGAGCTATTCTTGCAGCAGCTCGCTGCAGGCACACAGACTGCTTCATCACTGCCAGCTTTGAAGGACACCTTCTTCGGCAACAAGCGTCAAAGCAAGCTTGAACGCATACATTCTGTGCTCAGGATGGAATGTCACCACCCATCAACATTCAGGACTTCTTGGCATACCTCACACCCCTTCGATCCCCTTCGCACTCTCGGTAGCTGTGTCTTCAGACACTTGGTGGCGCCAGGCGGAGGAAGAGGATGGCCAAAATCTTATCATGTCTGTTGACGATGACTTCGTCAATCAAGAGGTTATGCGATCCATCTTGGAGCCTAGCGGATTCCAGTCGCCTGTCTGCATCATGCGAACACAAGCTGAACAATTGGCAGTCCCCCGTTTACAGGGTGCAGAAGAGATACTTCAACAGAATTTCAACATCTGATCTAAGGGTGATTGCTTGCATGAGTGGTTCTGAATGCCTTCAATACTTCGATGAAGAAAATCCGCGTCCCCGGCTTCTCTTGTTGGTGGCTTGACATCAAGCGATCAGCAAGTGTTACGTTGTTCTGTATCAAGATCGAGATGAGCCCGAAAACTCTACCTGCTGACCGGGAGCATGCCCCAGCAAGCTGGACTGCAGGATCTGATGATGCCGGGGTTGAGTGGTTTTGACGTACTTCAAGCGCTACGTGACAAATTTCAATTTGGCGAGCTTCCTGTTGTGATGGTGTCCGTCCCCAGCTTAGTCATGTTCCAGCCGTGGCTGGGCCTGTCGATTCGCTTAGGGCTCTATGGCGTTGTGCCTACCCGCCTACCCAGGCCAAGAACCAATCAAGTTCCGTGGTGAAGGGTAGCTCGTCAGCACTGATTGAAGCAGAAAGGTTGAGGAGGAAGGATAATCACGAACCAAAGGAGCACCCAAACGGAAACTGTTGCATGGGATATCCTGCCTTATTGGCCTGCTTAGTTTGAATTTTTTTAAGAGGGATTAGGGGATGTCTCAACCTTTTAAGTGTTTTTTTGCGTCCCCGGATAGCTTCACACGGTTCTGCTTTTTGCATCCTTGCTTCGACAGGGGAAACTCACAGTCTGCCTGCTCCGTCTCTGGCAAGGATACGACCTGGGCTGCGCGGACTGGATCCACAAACCATTTTGCCGACAGGAGCTGATTGCCAGAGTCAAGGCCGATGATTGCAGAAGATTGCATGCAAGCTTCTGCAGCTGTCATCGTCGAACAGTGCTCAAACCTTGACCTGACAGTCGCACTTGAAGATACGTGATGCACTTATTGGCTCCCTTGTCGCAAGCAAAGGGCTGCATTTCTTGGCCAAGCACTGTCAGTATTGAGCTCAGGCCCTGCCGAACGTTTCAAGCGCGATCTGAGGTTGCAGAAGGAGATGGGCGGGAGTGCCATCCCAGGACGTCTAGTAAGAGCTCGGGTGCATCACCTTGCGACCTTTTTTCAGCCCGCTCCGGCAAGCAAGCCGGGGCTGCTCGACCCGGTAGCCTTTTGAGACTTAGCATCCTTACAGCGTGGACAGCCATCCCGATCGATAGCTCTGGCAAACGTCATGGATTGAAAGACGCTGCCGGGAATACCATCGGCTGTTCAAATGAAGCCGGCATGGATTGCCATGATGCATCTGGTTACCTTTAGCACCAGGGTGGGTGCATCGATCAACGGCCTTTGTCCCGGCTGGATTCCAAAATGTTCCAAACAAATCAGCAACTGGAGATTTTCAGGAGCTCTTGCTGGCGGCCTCCCACAACAGCCGTAGGTGATTAGAGGTTGGTAACGGGGAGTGTTCTGCTGGGTGCGAAGAGTAACCCACGGGAGACCCCGTGGCATTGACATGTAGGAACCTCCTCCAAACTCCCCATCATGGCCCAGTGAGTAGACAAAGACGAGCCGGGGGACGGTCACGGTCACGAGTGTGTCATGGCGGCATTCCATCCCTGTGTGTGTCCAACTGGCTTTACTACTTCGGGGCCCATACCTTACTGATGTAAGATTCGGATAATGTGGGGCATGTGTGTACCGTCTTTTTCAACTGCCGTCCTTTCCACGAGCCTTTGTTGTCGAACACGTCCGGGGTGCGATGTGCAGCTTGCTGCACTTGTGCTGCATCCTGGACACCCTTCGCTACAACTACCAACAGAAATGCACCCTGAAAGGGGACCTAATGCAGCCCAGCTTCTGACGAAAAGCAGGAGAATGTCTGCAACAGCATTGAGGACCGCGAGGCTCGTTGGGACCCGGTTGATGTGCGTTGACTTTTAGGGTTTAGGGTTGCGAGCATTCGGAGCCCGTGTGTCGACAGGTGTGGACGCAGGCTGCATCCTTGTGAGAATTCCGCAGGATGAGACACCACGATCCGAAGGGGAGAAGAGAACAGAGGAGGGAGAGGAGGAGGCGGGCGACGGCAACTACTGGTATCTGCTCATACTGCCATGACTCGCTGCCTTGAGAGGTGGGCCAAGAAGAGACAGCTACCACATGCCGAGGCAGCTGTATGCACCGACTGTGAAATGGCACAGTTCGTCGAGCATCTCGTGTCCCTGGTGACTCTGGTGGATCGATTAAATGCATGTCGGAAAGAGAGCATTGGAACTGCTGCCCGCGATGTGTCACTGATGTGAAGCGCGTATACGCGACTGGCATGTTGAGTCACAGGAGTAGCGCCATGTCAAGATTGAGTTCTATGCCTCTACACGGACTACGAGATCGGCAGTTCTCGCGCCGCACCACTCCACACTCCACACCCCTCGCTTCTGGCATCGTTTCTTTGTCGTCAACTGACCCAGGGTTTCGCAGGCTTCGGCTGGTTTGACAACCGCACCCGATCGCGTTCGGTTGAGTTCTGACCTCTTTCCGACAATGACGTTCCGGTTTCCGTTTTGGAAGATCGATTCTGTTCTGGTGCTGCGAACCACCTTGATCATTGATTCTGCCATATTCAGTGAACAATTACCTTTCTCGGCTTTGTTCAGAAAGGAGCGGCAGTGCTTGTGCATGTTGCGAACCAGCGTCTCACTTTTATAGTTTTCGTTTTGCTGTGCTCTAAACTGCAATTCTATCATGTTAATCTCGTGAAGTTCGCTCGTGCCTGCGTGCTGAGAATGTTGAGCATATTTTAAGACTGTCATGCTGCTTCGTTGAGCAAAGTGGAGCGACATTGTGGTCTGTAGCGAGGTGAGAAGATGTCATGCAGCATAACACATCTGCAGCAGCAGTATTGGAACTGATGCTCCTTCGGAAATGAGACTTGCCAGGTCCTGTGAACTCGACGGCGCTTTTTGCAAACGTTGCAGCAGTCTTGGCGTGCTGTCTGTCCGCTACAGCTACAGTACGCCTGCGATTGAACCCGTTCGGTTACGAGAAGGTCAAGAAGCTCACATCGGCTGGGGATCAAGACGAGGCCTGTGCACATGATATGCGAAGCACGTAGCTCCAGACGCTACCAGCTGTGATAGCTTCTCCTGTTTCAGCCGTGTAGTGGGCCCGACTAAATGGCATGCCGTAAGCGGTTTCATTCTCAGGGGCGGCTAAATAGAACTTAAGCCTACCTGCTCAGAAGCTCCACTGACTGCAAGTCGCGCAAACTCGCACTCAAAGCTATGCAATGCAGGTGATTCTCGCCAGGCCGTCAAGCTCAATAATTTGGATAGGCAGTCACTGAACAACCAAGCACGCCAAAGGAGGGTCACCCTACAGCAGCGCACCGACATGCAAAGCGGCTTCAAAGCTGCAAGCAATCCTGCCATGTGTCAGGAAGTCTCATGCCTGATTGATGCAGTTCCAGGTCTGGCAGCATCGCAACACCTCGGCCTCGGAACAATGCAGACCTAGAGGATTCCGAAGGGGTTATGTCTGCAAGACAAAAGCTTCAGCGGTTTCCAGGCTTCGCACCTTAACAGATGACGAGGTCTTGCGTCGAAGTATTGCAGCAAAGAGCCAGTGTTGATGGTACTGCTGTTTTTTTGTCCTGAAGTTCTGCACTCGAGCATCATCAGCTTCAGGTGGGATGTGTTTTCAACGTAATGGAGCTGGCACGAGAATCCCTAGCATCAGAAAAACAGCCCTTTCGGCAGAATTGCCCGCCTCCTCCACAAATCCAACGGTGCTTCCAATGCTGCACAATCTATTTGGACGACCTCACCTCATCTCGCTTCGATACTATGCCTCCGGCCTCGCGGTGACGAGCCGGAGCCAGCAGTGATGCTCATGGCGGCCGTGGGATATTGCCACCCACGGTGCTGCGGCGGAGCCTGGGTATCCTATTCCCGAATTT